GAAAAAAGCTTGGTTCTCAGGGTATTACAGAAAGTCAGTTTGTATGGCAGTGTTCTGTCATCCACTATACTCATACATTAGGGTATGTGTACTTTCATGAGGTAGATAGTTAAATAATGATACAGATGCCTAGAGTAGCAAGATATGACGCCTCCCCTTAGAAGCATAGTAGATCATACACTAGTTCAAAGGGCATACAAAGATAAAGCTCTGTACCATTTTCTAGAACAGGCTATGCCAAAAACAAGCAGAATTTGTACAAACAGTCAAAGCTAGTTCTTATGAAGTGCCAAACTTAAACATTGCAGTTCAAATTTGACCTGAAAAACCCCATCAAGCTACAACCGTGGGAGTATCTTCACTCAGATGTGAAGCCAGGTGATGTTCTTGGGCATGGCGCATTTGGTGAAGTTCGAGCTGGAAGTTTGCACCTAAAAAGTGGAGAAAATGTCGACATAGCAATTAAATTGGTAGATTATTTATTTTTTTTTCAAATTTTTGATATATCGCTAGCCTGCGAGTAACAGTAGGCTTTCTAGATGTAATTTCACAAGTAGTCCAAACGACTGCACGGTTTAGATGATGACATCGATCATACAATTGTTAGATAAGTTTGCTTTCTAGACCAAGGGATCTTCGGATCTGTGCAAAGCTAAAATCAAAGAAATGATGAAAGAAGCTCGACTAATGCGTAATTTCAAGCATAATAATATCGTTCGCATTTATGGTGTTGCTGTGGACGAGCAACCGCTTTACATTTTGTTGGAACTCGTTACAGGTATGTACACATAATTTACCATCAGTTCCAGTAGCAGTGCTGCCGGCTGCTTCGGCTCGGAAACTTACGGATCAGTATGAACCCAGCCTTTATGCTGCATTTGTGAGCGTATCAACATGCAAAGCTGGGGAATGACAAAAGATGCGCATTCCGCAGTTAACATATAAGTTTGTATAAAGCATGGTTCTCAAAATTCTTAAAATTATGTCATCAGCAACTCTAGACTAAGAAACTTTACAATACAACAGAAACATATAAACTTTTGGTCGAAATGGCCGTTCCAAATAAGACCTACAGATCGAAAAGCATTAAACGGTGATCCTAGATCTGCCTTCATTATCCGCCTTGAAAAAATGACTGCACAACTGGAACAAAATCTTCAAAATTTGCTCGAATAATCCAGTGTTAAATGTCGAAGCATCACTAGTTGAGTACCTTTGCTTGATAATTTATACAACACTGCTCTATTTGAGTGCTGGAAAGATCGTAACAAGAAATTTTGCCAAATTTCGGGTCTATTTTTGTTTTGAAAAATAACTCGGCTAAGAAAAGCTTGGCAGACAATGAGGATAGATTCGGAACCAGCATTTAATCCTCGGTAGAAAACTGATATGG